TGCTGGTATTTTTAAATCTGTCATTTGATGCCATTGATCATGAGTTGATGTTGATGGGGTGCCTTCCAGCGGCCTTGTTCTTTCGTCTAGGAGAAATCACAGTGGGTAGTTGTGGGTGATTGCTCCTCTTCCTAAAGGGCTCTTGAGTGATGGATACTATCCTGGCACCCTTCCTGTTTCAACGTGTATATAGAATTTAAAAGGATTACAAAGCAGGCTCAGGGTATTGTGTTCTCAGTACACTAATGACACCCAACAGTATGTGTCTATCTCATCCAACTTGGCAATGATGTGGTTTAGTATCTCAGCCAACAAGCAGTTGAGATTGGAACATAGATCAGAGCGAAACTCTACCCGTACAAGACTGATGTGATGATGGTGGAGGTAATGGAACTAGAGAGTGCTTCCATCATTGGCCGTCAGAGTTTGCAACTTTGGGGGGTGATGTTAGCCTTTCAGCTGCTTTAGATGATCATATTATAGCAGTAACCTGTCTACTTTTTATCATCTGCAGCTGGCAAAATGGTTGTGAACTTTTCTTTCAGATGCCAACTTTGCCACTGTTGTCAATGCCTTTGTCACTTCAAGATTAGATTATTGTAATGTGCTCTATTTGGGACTTCACTTTTATTAAGCAGGGCACATGATAACCGTGCTTTGGGATCTGCCTGGCTTCCTGTTGCTCATGATCTGTAAAGATTTTAATGGCCTGGAACCTGCCTGCCTGAGAGAGTGCCTCTTCTCCTGCAACGTACTGCCCCAACTGCAGTCACTGGAGGAACTCAAATTATAATCCTCTACTTATAAAAGAAAGGGTGTTGCCAGCAGGGCATTCTCTATGAGGGCCCTGCGACTTTGGAACATGCTCCCCATCCAAAATAGATTTTATGACCACATAGGCGCACTGAAAAAGCCAATTGTCTGATAGGGCTTGAGGGGAAGAATAAGGGTGGGTGTTCCTTAGTATGATTTGGGTAAGGGGCTTTTCTGGAATTTTTCTTTTTTAGTGTCTGTTGCTGAAGTAAATTATCTCTGATTATTTTAAGACTACTGGCTGGCAGCGTTTATTTGTATATTAGTACTGTAAGTACTCAGATTTTTATATGTGCATTCTTCATGTCAAATATAAATAAAGACCTGATAAAGGAATTGGCTGATTCTGTGATCAGAGACAGTGCTACAGTATTGCAGAAGAATGGGCATTGCCTATCCTATGAAAGTAACTTTCTAGGCAAGATATTTGTATGACAGCTATATTTACTATTCCCCCCCCCCCCTTCGGTTAAAACTACTATAATGGGTTCTCTCAAGCTGTGAAAAGCTGACCTTAATTTGTCAGTTCCTGATATTTTTATTATGTGAACTTGGCTGATGATTCATAGTGCGTCTTAATCTTGAATTTTTTTAGCTGCGCGAAAGCCAAATTGAGTCTGCCCTACCTTTTATGGAATGCATGATCATTACAGTAGCTTTTGTACTTAAATGTATACTTCATTTATTATTAAATTACTTTTTTTTAAAAAATGCAAAAGCCTGTACCTTTCTTACTGTATTTAAATGCTCTGGAAATAGAGGAAAGTATTACTGTTTCATGTCTCCTGCAACTGGGAATGGCAAACATTTTGATAAATGGAAGCGAAGATTGTTTAGCTTCATTTTTCATATGATCTCCTGAAATGGTATTTTGTATTTTCCAGCTGCAGTTTCTCAGTGTATCTCAACAGCAGCAGTACACTAGGGGGCTGATTTGCCCTTTCTTCAGCAGCTGAACACTACTATAATAAAGCTCTGTTAAGTTAGAGGAGTAGTCCTGTAGTGGGGCAGCTGCTCCACTCCTGGAGAACAGGTTAAAACAGCCAAACTAGGCTGATTGGAGTAGCAGTCCACAGCTGAGGCCAGCTCAATTGGGGCCCAGCTGGCCCTGATAGCAGGGCTGTGGGCCAGAAGCTGGAGGAGTCTCGCTCTAGCCCGGGAGTGGGAAGGGCTAGCTGCCTGAGAGCGAGGTACCTGAAGTGGAGTAGTGCTGGAGAATAGGGCAAGGGAGCTGGGGAACTCCAGCCTGGTAAACCCCCAGGCTGCAGGCCTTGGTGAAGGTCTACACGGGTACTGGGGTTTCAGAGGTGCAGCCGGGGTTAGGCAGAGGGAGCTGGTCCAACCTCCTTGCCAATGATGAGTGGCCATTACAAACTGCAGTCTGCCCCAGTGAGTGGGGGCTACCTGATGACTGGCAGTAGCCACTGAGGCAAGGTGGGTTTAGAGGATTGGGGGTTCCCCTGGGAGGGGAGACTCAGAGTGACGGGGTACTGCTGGGGCAGAACCCTCAGGTAAAGGGCACCAGGGTCTAGGAGGGACATAGGGCCAGCGGCAGGCGAGACACCAGCCTGCAGAGGGTGCTCCATACATTGGAGAGCTAATTCCCTGGATGACCAGCAGGAGGCGCTGCACCGGTGAGTCATCGCTTTGCTACAAGTCCTTTTTACAGAGATACAAATATATAGGCCCTCACACATAAAGTGAAGACTTAAAAATTTGGATTTTGAATTGCTATAAGATAAGAGATAGTATACTTAAATGTTTTAAAAGTTGTCATGGATGCTACTAACTTGTGTTCTGTGACCTGCATTGGCTGCCTGTTAGTTTCCAGATTGATTTTTAAGTTGTTGGTTTTGATTTAGAAAAGACTGGAACCTACCTGTCAAAGAAGCCACCTATCTCTCTCTCAATGACATTACTGCCACAGTTGTGGTCAGCAGAGGCACTGACTTTTCCTCAGTGATCTGGAAGTAAATCTGAAATCACTGCTGATAAAACTTGCAGATGACATGGTTGTTGGAGTGGTAAATAATAATGACGAGCACAAGGGAGTCATACAGAACAATCTGTATCCCTCGGTAAGCTAGGCCCATTCAGACAAAATGCAAAGCTTGACAGCTAGGAACAAGGCCATACCTACAGAACGGGGTAGGAGACTGTATCCTGGAAAATAGTGACACTGAAAAGGATTTAGGGGTCAGGATGGACAAGCAGTTCAACATGAGATCCCAGTGTGGTGGTGATGCAAAAAGAGCTAATCCGAGCCTTGGATGTATAAGCAGTGGTGTAGAAGTGAGGAGGTGATTTTACCTCTGTATATGGCCTTGGTGAAACTGGTGATAGAGTACTGTATACAGTTCTGGTGTCCAGATTTTAAAAGGAATGTTGACAAATTGGAGAGGGTGCAGAGAATAGCCACAAAAATTATTCAAGGCTATGGAAAGTGCTTTACAGTGAGAGGTTTAAAGAGCTTAATCTGGTTAGTTTATCAAACAGAAGTTTGAGAGGTGACTTAATTATAGTATACAAGTACATCATAGGAAGAAAATATCAGGTGCTCGGAGTATTTTAATCTAGAATGGCTGGAAGCTGAAGCCAGACAAATTCAAATTTTAACAGTGAGAGTGATAAACCATAGGAACCAACTACCAAAGGAAATGGTGAATTCTCCATCTTCTGTTGTAATCAAATCAAGACAGGATGGCTTTCCGGAAGACATGCTTTAGCCAGCCACAAGTTATGCTTTAATCAAACACAAGTTATTAGATTCAATACAGGGTAACTGAGTAAAATCTATAGTCTGTGATACACAGGTCCAATTAGATCAGCGTTTCTCAAATGCAACCACTGTGGCTTTTCTTGCGGCTACAGCCTCCTGGGCTCTATTTGGGTGAGGCTGGGGGTGGGGCAGCAGCAAAGCACCATCTCCTCTCCTGGGGCTGCCTGCCGGGTTTGGTCCCTACCCCCCTCCGGAGCCATAAACACTGTAGGAGCAAGCAACCAGTGTGAGTTCCCCACCTTTCCAGGAGCAGTATGTCCCGGGCTTCAGGCTTCCGCCCTAGGGTGGTGGGAAGCAGGCTCTCTCCCCCAGCTGCAGGGCTTTGGGCTCCATCCCTGGACTCACCCCCCGCCATCACCTTGACCCCCGGTGCTTCCTCCAGACCCCCCATTGGCCCTGACCCCCCTGCCTCCTTACCCGCCTCCTCATCCAGGGCTTAATTTGTCCAATATACCAATATCACTTAACCAATATACAAATATCACTTTTCACAGTAGCAGACTTACTAACTAGCAATCTAAAGAAAATAACACGTAAAGCACCTTATTTTTGTTTCTAATCTGTTTAGGTCCAGTAAAGAAGAGAGACAACTGTACTTTATTTTTATGATTGAGTCTGCCAAAAAAAAACAACCCTACATAAATAAATTACAATGATCTGGACATGTATATGTGCACAGTTATTTGTTTTTCCCAAAGTTAATTAAGTATTTTAGGAAAAATTCTCAGAGCTGCAACCAGCAAGATTTGGTGGCCGCACTCTGAGGCCACCAAAAAATATGTTGAGAGAACCCCTGTATTAGAAGATCGAATGGTCCTTTCTGACCTTAAACTTTATCAGTCATAGTAGGCAGTTGGCAGAGTGTTCTCCATTAGGATCCTGGGCTTTTCCTGTCCAGGTCGTAACAACCCAAATTTGTCACTTTTCAGGGCATGCTGGAAGGTCTGCCTTTTCTTCCTAGTTCATGAGGAAATGAAAGATAGCTACAGCTGGGCGTGGGGCTCTGGAGATTGTGTGTGGGGTTGATTGATTTCAGTTATACTTATGTTGTCACTCTTACTTGAGCTGATCTGGTGGACTTGACAGGTCTCTTTGTTTTAGTGTATTTTTTAAAAAATATTGTCAAGGGCACTCAGAGCACTGGATTGGGTGATCTTTTACTTTAGTCTGTATAAATCTAAATAATTAACTTCTAAGTAGTTGTTGTACATTATCAAAGCAAATAGACTGCAAGCAATAGTGATTCTAAAAACTAGTAAAATATGCTCCATTGTACCTTCCAGATTCTTCCTCATGGAATACTAAATCATTTTTTACCATGTTGTGTCTCATCGTACTCAAATACTATTCAGCACATTTCAAGAGTTAGCTTTTAAATACTCTTTTTTTTCTTCTTCTTGTTTTACAGCTTTCCTTGTTAATGATGCGAGTGAAGGCTTTAACAGCAGAGTATAATCAGTGGCAGAAACGAAGTCCTGAGAGTAAGGATTTTTATTAATATTTTTATAGACTTTGTTTAAAACCAAAGTTTATATGATTATCTTGGATTTACAACATCTCGTTTATCCAAGTATCTGAGTATGCATATGTAGAATATTTATATTGCATGCATCATCACACCTAGGTACCTTGCAGAAATTAAAATGAACTACAGTACTGCCTACAATAGTGTCCTTCCACTTTTGTCTCTGTGCTTTCTTCCTTGTAGCACCGACATCTGAGTTGGCACCTGTTGAAATGATTGAGGCAGTTCACAACTTAGAGCTACTGTTTCTCTCTCTCTTAAGGCTATGTCTACACTACGACTTATGTCAGCAAAATTTGTGTGTCTCAGGACTGTGAAAAAACACTTCTGAGTGACATAAATTTCACTAAAAGAAAAGGAGTACTTGTGGCACCTTAGAGACTAACCAATTTATTTGAGCATGAGCTTTCGTGAGCTACAGCTCACTTCATCAGATGTTTACCGTGGAAACTGCAGCAGACTTTATATACACACAGAGAATATGAAACAATACCTCCTCCCACCCCACTGTCCTGCTGGTAATAGCTTATCTAAAGTGATCAACAGGTGGGCCATTTCCAGCACAAATCCAGGTTTTCTCTCCAGCAGGAGAGTGAATTTGTGTGGGGGGGTGGAGGGTGAGAAAACCTGGATTTGTGCTGGAAATGGCCCACCTGTTGATCACTTTAGATAAGCTATTACCAGCAGGACAGTGGGGTGGGAGGAGGTATTGTTTCATATTCTCTGTGTGTATATAAAGTCTGCTGCAGTTTCCACGGTAAACATCTGATGAAGTGAGCTGTAGCTCACGAAAGCTCATGCTCAAATAAATTGGTTAGTCTCTAAGGTGCCACAAGTACTCCTTTTCTTTTTGCGAATACAGACTAACACGGCTGTTCCTCTGAAACCTGTCATAAATTTCACTGGCATAAGTGGTCATTGCACAGGGCAATGTCAGCAGGAGAGCTTTCTCCCGTCAGCATAGAGCAGCTACATGAGATATCTTAACAGCGGTGCAGCTGCATCAGTACAGCTGTATCGTTGTAAGCTCTCTAGTGTAAACATAGCCTAACACACTCCCTTTCATTAGAATGGGATTTGTTGGTGTTCAGCACTCCTAAAACTCAGGCCACCAAAGATGTGAATAATATTCCAGGAGGTTAACAATAAGCCTCTATACAATTTCTGAAGAGCCTCCAACAAGAATTCTGGCCTTTAGAATTTAGAAATTACAGGAGCGTTCTGGCAGAAAACTCCTGTTGCTGTTGAGGGTTTATAGGTAACCAATACCCTAAAATGCATCCAATGTTGGATTCAGAAGCAGTGCAAAACATTTATGACATGTGTGGTGTGTTCATGTTGGCCTGCTCCAGTCAAGAAATGGACTGTCATAGTGTCTACTAGCTGAAATTTTCAAGATAACTTTGAGGGTAACCCAATTACAGTACATTACGATATCCTTTTTGGATTTAGAGTTCAGACACCAGGCCAAACAAAGGTAGAGGTACTTTGGGCCATTACAGCCTTTTGGGAATCCAAGAGCAGTTACTGATCCAGTAATTCCGTAACATTTGCAGATCCCCTGAGATAAAGGGTATGCATCCTTCCTGTGTTCTTAGGAGTCATTATCAGACAAAATATGCATAGCCCTATTAATTCTTCAGGATGCCGTCTTCTACCCACCAGCTTTGGCCTTAATTGCGTTGTAGTTAACTTGCTTTTTACCCAAGACCCTAATTTGGCCAGGCACTGGAAAAGCAACATCCAACAGAATCTATTTGACAGGAAGACACAAAACTGAATATCCTCTGATGGTACTATAGCCCAAAATGTCATCGTCTTCTCCACAATGGAAGATTGGATCTGGATAGAACAGATTAATTCTTAATCGGCAACCGTCCTTTTTCCATACAAACTTATTTTAGAATTTGTCTACATGAAGAAATTTAGCAGCATGATTATACTGGTATAACTCTCCGCGTGCACTCTCTTATATCGGAATAAGAGGGCCTTTTTTAGTTTAGCTTATGTTGCTTCCAGAGTGATTGGATCACAATGCAAACTGCATATCATGGCTTTCAACAGTTTATAACTCAGCAATAGCTGAACAGATTGTCATAGGAACAGCAATAGGCTCCTCTCCTCTGCTAAATTTCAGGTACCTATGGTGTACCTTGGAAGTGTTAGTTCTTCAAAGGAAGAATGAAAAGAAATTATAATGGAAAGTATTAGGCAACCTTAATTTAGGTGTTACTGCTGCTCCCTAGTTAATATCCACAGAATAAATTTTAAATAGAATGTTTGTTTTTTTAAACTTTCCACAAGATATCAGAGCTTTGATTTTGTATTATTGTGCTGGGTACGAGTCCTAGTTATGGACCAAGACCTCATTGTGCTATGCACTGTACAAACACAGAACAAAAATACAGTCTCTACCCCAAAGAGTTTACAATCTAAATATAAGACAAAACAACAGATGGATACAGATAGATGCAGGAGTACAAGAAATCAATGAGACTACATTGGTGGTAGGCAGTGGTCACGATATACCAGAACCTAACCATCTCTTCCTAAACTCACTACTTTTTTTTCTCCTTATATATAGGGTGATAAGAATTTCCATAATGGAAAAGCATCAGTAGTTTGTGTGGTCTGGGAACCTGTCTCAAGCGGTGGTCAGTTCCAAATGCTTCAGATGAAGGGGTAGACCAAAATTAGACCATTGTACCAAATTGTGCAATACTATCCTATGGGGAATATTTCTTGTTGGCCACTGCTGCTGATCATCCTTGTAACATAAGGATTACAAGCACTTTTAATTTTTATTCTAGCTAAGATAACTGCTGATGTTTTTGTTACTATAAATATTTAATCATTTTTAAAACTTTAAGCTATTTGTGTTACAAAAATAGATTCTTGTGGCATTAAATATTTTTAGCATTATATTTGAGTATTGGCTCATAATGTTCTAATTTATTTGCACATGGTTAGATTTCTTATTACATATGGAAATTTTATAGTACAGAAATTTTGTGTGTATAATGTATAAATAACTTTGAGAGACAAGGTGGGTGAGGTAATATTACTTCACCCACCTTGTCTCTTTAATATCCTGGGACCAACACGGCTACAACTATATTCCATACAACATATAAATAACTTACCTTTTTGCAGTCGAGGCTTTCCCTTGTTACTTATAATTCTCTTTTGAGCCAATTCGTTGAAGAATGGGAGATGGGGGTTGACTTTGAGATGTCATAGGATTATGGCCATTATATGAAAATAAAGAACTACCATGCTTTCATTTTTCTGTGTCCATCTGGAACTTTCTCATCGTACCTATCCCTCACTGTGTGAGAGAGAGCGAGAAGATGCTTCATTAATAGAAAATGCTGTCTGAATGTTGCTAAATATGGGATAGGAATATTAGTCAAGTTGCCACAACTCAATATTAGAGCCTGAATATCAGGCTTTCTTGAACCCTGCTGTATATTTTTAGCAATAACCAGTACAGTTACTATAATTGAGAGTCTGTCAGCATTTCCACTATAAACCTTGCTTTTGGGGGTTATAACTCGGCAGTTACAAATTTCATTGGGCACAATCTTGGCACGCAGGCTTGAATCCACAATGCAAATTTTTATTTTTGCAAGACTCTTTAGTCTCTTGTTCTTTCTGGGTTTCTGATACTCTATATATAGCTCTAGAGATGCTTAATCAGCTAAATTATAACTTTTTAACAAGCAGTTGGCACTTAAAATAGATTTGAATTTTTTTCTTTTCAAAATAAGAATTAACCACATTTTAAAGTTTTTATAAAAAATATGTGGTCTATGTATAGTACCTTTTTTGTGTGCATAGTATCAATATTGTGCCAGATTCCTATCACTTGAATCGGAGTTTCCATACAAAGGCTTGCATAGTAATGATTCCTTGCATTGCTAACATCTGGTAGTATTTTGCATTGCAACCATGCTACATATTGGCGTGCTATTCCATTTGCAATCTCTAGCCTTGATTTTTTTTGTACATTTTGTACGTAGGAATAAAACCACACACCAGGAAAAGGCTCCAACCAGTAGAAGATGCATCAGCATATATGCCTAATGACTAAAATTGCCTTTAGCACATCACCCCAGTGCTCCATGGTATGCACTGGCTCACCATTGAATACAGACCAATTCAAAGTCTCAATCCTGATATTCAGAGTCCTTCATAGAATTGGCCTTAGCTACTAAAGAGATTCCCTCTCCTTCTACAACCACGACCTCCATAAGTCATAACACAGGAGACAGAATTTACTGCATGTGGACTATTGAATTCTCTTCTGCAGGAGATTGTTACTTTTATTTTTAAATATTTGGTGGGCACTCAGATATTACAATTAAAGGAGCCATATAAGTACTTAGGTAGAAATGCTTAAAGTTGAAGGAAGTGGTAGGAAACAAGTGATTTGAATGGACTGAAGTGGATAATTCAATATAGAAAGAAGAAAAGGAGTACTTGTGGCACCTTAGAGACTAACAAATTTATTTGAGCATAAGCTTTCGTGAGCTACAGCTCACTTAAAGGATTTCAGATCATCACAAACTGTAGAAAATTGGTTTCTTTGAATTCTTCATGTCAAATATCATGGACTGGAAGTTGGCCTATTGAAAGGGAAGAGCAGAACTCTGACTAAATGGATTCTGCATTTGAGACATTTTCAAGTCATTGTCATCACGAAATATAGCCATGATGATGATTAAAGTCACTGTATAGGGCCTCCAGTAGCTCTTCAACATCAGCTTAGTTCAGGGATGCTCTACTCATCTTTTGTGTATATATATGATTTTACTTCTTTCTCACATGCTCCTAATTCTTTATCTGACTTTTTCTTTTTAATCACTCTTTAATTGAACACACTTTGGGTGCAGAAATCTTCCTTGTTTCAGTATCAGGTCATACTCTGATCGCTGCTGAAATCACTACTTCACAGTTTGTTCAATATTCATGGAAGTTTAACCAAACTTTTATTTAAAAATCTTTTAAAATAGATTTATTTTTGAAAATTTATCAAGCCCACCCTATATTTTGGAAGACATCTAATGCTTCTATATGGGGAGCTATAATTTCTTTCCCTTTTAGTAAAAAGAAATCTTTATCACAGGAATTTCTTATGTTAGGATGAGATATTATGGATCTTGATGTCCAAATTTTGACATACAAATATGCTTCTGGTGATATAACGATTTGAAGCTGCTGTAGTAGCTTTAATTTCTCTCATAACATAAAAAGTTGCAAATGCACGCTTTAGTTTCTCAAAATCCATGCTTTTATTCACATATAAGCAAAGCAGGGAGGATGATCGCATACCTAATCAACTCTTCAAATCTCCTGAAGGGGATTGATTACAAGATCTATCAAACAACCTGGAAGCTCTGAAATAATGAAATCTGAGATGATCTCTTGCATTTGCACCTTTTTAAAAAGAATCTCTCTTTCTGTGACAATCGGCTTTCTCCATAATTTAATTCATTTTTTAAAAATGATGTCCAATTACCTTTTCTTTCTATTGAACAAACTGGATTTTTTGAGTGAAGGGTGACTTTGTTAGTGTAAACATAACCTAACACACGAAGTTCAGAAGGTTTTGGAGATAAGTATTATAAATGACTTCAGAATATGTTAATTAAACCCTTGTGGAAGATTTTTTTTTTTTTTAAACAAAGGGGGGGGTCTTCTCATGTTCTTCTAATTACCTCAGTTTCTCTTATTCTTAAAAAAGACTTAAACCCTGAGAAAGGTGTCTTGTGTCAAACAATCTTCTTACATAACTTGGATTTAAAATGTTTTGCAAAAACTTGGGCTTGTAGGCTGGAGGAAGTTCTGTCATACCTATTGATCAGACAAGTTTTATTAAAATCGGAATTCAGTTTGTGATATTTGTGGAGTAATGTGTGCAGTTTGGACCATGGGGGAAATTGATATTAAAACAATATTTTCCTCAGTGCAGATTAGACATTTGATAGGGCCAGTCTTTTGAGATTTGACTTTATCCCTATGATAATGCTAATGGTATGTCTTCCTCAAAAGTCAGACCTGTTTATTTTGCTAAATTTATTAATTGTTTGTTTTTCCTGGTTTTTTTAATATAATCAGTTTTATTTTTCAGTAATCTCCACCAATCCAGATGTCCTGGTAGCATTAGGAAAGGAAGAGGTAAGTGTCTTACTACCAAGTAATGAACTATCTTCTTACAAGTGGGTGGTTGTTTTGTTTTTTTGGGGGGTGTGGGGGTAGGTTTAGGAGTTTCTTTTCATATGATTGGCTAGCCATAAGAAATTTGTGTGTGCTTATTTGAGCACTATTAATTTTTTAATTTGCTTTTTCCTGAACTTTGTTGTAAGTACTGAATATTTTTAGTTGTAGTGAAAATGATCTTTTTAATAGAACTTACTATACGGTGTCTCTTATGTTTAAGATATGATTTTTTAAAAATAATGTACTGTGCAGAAGAGGCAGTAGTCTTAGTTCTAGAGTTTTGTAGGAATAATATATGCAAATACCTATTTGAGTTCTTCCAGACTGGGGGAGAAAGGACAAATAAAGAATGTAGTGGTAGCATTTCAATATATTGGTTGGACATTGGTATGTAACTTTAGCTGGGAATATTCTTGTGGCTATAACGTTGAAATGAATAGTTATACTTTGGCTAACACATAAAGATACATTTAGATTATATGGGTTTTGTTTAAAAATAACTTTTGCTTCACCTACCTTTTTGGTTTGGCTACCTCCCAGAAACTTTCCTCTGCCTTGTGTCAGTCAGGCCAGGGAACCAAACTGCCAATACAAGTGCTCTTTTAACAAAAAGATTGGCTATGTCTTTTCCTTTGAGTGAATATCCTCTCCACTACATGTTTGGTTTGACATTCCGTTTTGTGGTTAGCTTAGCTGAGGGATACAACATTTCTCATAAATCCTGTGTATATAAAACCCTTCTGCTCCTGGGGAATATTTTCTGTATTTCATTTGTACTTGTTGTGAGCGAAACTTAAATTTTATTTTATAATTACATAATACAGGGTCTGTGATTGGGTGTATAGACCCCACACTGATGAGGAAGGTGCCAGACAGGACATGGGGGCAGGCCTAGATGGAAGGCCTTTAAAAGGGAGGCAGCTGCAGTCAGCTGAGGTGAAGGAGCAGGATTGCTAAACAGGAGACTGCTGGGATCACTCCTGGAGCCACAGGAGGAACTCCCATCTAGGAGATCTTCACCCTGTCCCTGCGGGGAGTGAAGTCCCGCAAAGGGTATGGACCTATGTAAGAAGGAAGGAACTAGGGCCTGTGACAGAACCTCCCAGTGCAAGTAACTGGGTGCGATCAGGTTGTCCCACCATCTGGGAGACAAACCTCAGGGAACTCCTATTCAGGGACACAAAGGCATCTAAAGATAGTATATAGCGGAGAGCCCCAAACTTATTAAGGGAGCCACATCGGTCTCAAAAGGACAGAGCATCTCAGGGTTAGTCTTCAGCAAGCCGTGCATCAACTAAGGACCCAGTCCACTGAGGTGTTGGGTACTCCCCCCTCCTGTGTGGAGTGGAGGGCATGGAGACTCTGATAGAGTCAAGCTCTAAATTTCTTTACTGAAGAATAGTCTGAAGTGAACCAGACTGCAGTGTCTTATTACTTGTACCATTTCCCTATCCAAGATATGAATACCTCATTCATCATCAATTTGGTTAGTAAGAGTAATCACCCTTTCTTAGAGATGTTCTCACTTTGGAGTGCCATAATTGTTGCTCTGCCAACTATTAGTTTTTCAGTGTACTATTATGTGAGATGTGGGTTGTTACTGATTTGTCTGTCAAGATAATTTTGGTTCCCTTCACTGTGGTATCTGAGTGATACCACAACAGCACTATCAAGTTTTGTTTTACATAGCACTAATAGAATTGCATTTCTCCATAATATACACTTCAATTTCCCATTTTGTAGTTGCAGAAAGTAGACCATGATCTTGAAATGGTGCTGTCTACTGTTCAGTCAAAGAATAAAAAGCTGAAGGAAGACATGAAAAGGTATAAAGCGAATCGAGTTTGTGAATGCCATACAATTTTGATAGCAAATCAAGTGAGAATCATTGTTTTGGTAGGTCTGAATTATCCATTATTCCCTATCTCATTTTTTTCCACTTTCATGTTTAAAGAGAACAGCAGTGGCTGGATGAGCAGCAGCAATTGGTAGATGCTCTTGACGTAACACATGAAGAAATGAAAAATCAAGTGGTACAATTTTCTGAAAAAAGGTATTTATAGTGCTTTTTTCCAGCAAAAAAAAAGTTAAAGGATTGAATATTAGTATTACAATTAAAATAGATTTTAAAAATCGAATGTTACTGTTTGATATCTTTGGTAAAGATCAAATAATAAATCAAGTAATAAAATACATTTGAAATCTAGGTTGCACATGTGCTACAGGCTGCACTTGGACTTTGTGCTATTTGGGTTATTGATGCCGTTATTGTAGCAACAGTACCTTTTTATCGAATTACATGTCACATCGGCTAAACTTTATTTTTACATTGGGTTTTTAGAGCTTTGCAAGAACTGAAAAGTAAAATGCTGAAAATAAGGGCATATAAGGAAGAGCTCCTGAGTGCTCTGGGGGAGTTCCTAGAAGAACATTTTCCTCTCCCAGAAGAAGATGAAAGTGCTAAAAAGAAGAAAAAAGTAAGATTTCTTTAAAATTATCAAATTTGAAAGGTTTTTATTATTTTTTCTTTAATTAGGTTTTATATAATTTTAAAGTCACAAGGCTGGAAAGGTGGAAACCGTATTTAAGTCATACATGTAGTGTTGATGGCGAGATCTCATCTGGTGAGATCTCGTCTGGAATACTGTGTGCAATTCTGGTCTCCCACATTTAAGAAAGATTAATTAAAACTGGAACATGTGCAGAGAGAGGCTACGAGGGTGATCAGAGGAATGGAAAACCTACCTTATGAAAGGAGACTCAAAGAGCTTGGCTTGTTTAGCCTAACCAAATGAAGGCCTAGGGGGAGATATGATTGCTCTCTCTAAATACATCAGAGGGATAAATACCAGAGAGGGAGAGGAGGTATTTAAGTGCCAATGTTGACACAAGAGCAGATGGATATAAACTGGCCATCAACAAATTTAGGCTTAAAATTAGATGAAGATTTCTAACCATCAGAGGAGTGAAGTTCTGGAACAACCTTCGAAGGGGAGCAATGTGGGCAAAAAACCTAAGTGGCTTCAAGAATGAGCTTGATAAGTTTGTGGAGTGGATGGTATGATGAGACTGCCTGCAATGGTTACAGCTGATCTGTGACCACTGGTAGCAAATATCCTCAATGGCTGTTGATGGGATACTGGATGAGGAGAGCTCTGAGTTACTATAGAGAATTCTTTCCCAGTTATCTGGCTGTTGGGTGATGCTGAAATGCTCAGGGTCCAACTAACCGCCATATTTGGGGTTGTGAAGGAATTTTCTCCTTGGTCAGATTGGCAGAGACCCTGGCAGATTTTTGGCTTCCTCTGCAGCACGGGTCACTTGCAGGTTTAAACTAGTGTAAATGGTGGATTCTCTGTAACTTGAAGTCTTTAAACCATGATTTGAGGACTTCAGTAACTCGGCCAGAGGTTATGAGTCTATTACAGGAGTGGGTGGGTGAGGTTCTGTGGCTTACAATGTGCAGGAGGTCAGACTAGATGATCATGATGGTCACTTCTGACCTTAATGTCCAGGTCACTTCCTACAACTGTTCTTGTTATCTAAGTCGGGGTGGGCAAACTTTTTGGCCCGAGAGCCACATCAGGGTTGCAAAACTGTATGGAGGGCCAGGTAGGGAAGGCTGTGTCTCTTCAAACCCCCACCCCACTCCTTGTCCCCTGACCCAACCCTAATGCCCCCCACCCGGGACTCCGCCCCCTGACAGGCTCCCCGGGACTCCCACGCCTATCAAACCACTCCCTGTCTCCTGACCGCTCCCCCCCCAAACCTTCGCTCCATCCAACCCCCCTCTGCTCCCCATCCCCTGACCGTGTCCCCCCACCCAGAACCTCCGTCCCATCCAACTGCTCCCTGTCCCCCAGGACCTCCTGCCCCTTATTCAACCCCCCTGTTCCCTGCCCCCTTACCATGCCACTCAGAGCGGCAGGACTGGCTTATTGGAAAGCCTGGGAGGTGAGCAGGCGCAAGCCGCACTGCCCGCATGGCTGCAGGGAAGGGGAGACAGCAGAGGAGGGGCCGGGGGCTAGCCTCCCAAGCCGGGAGCTCAAGGGCCAGGCAGGATGGTCCTGCATGCCGGATGTGGCCCACGGGCCATAGTGTGCCCACCTCTGATCTAAGTGATACCTTTCAAAGTTTGGTTATATCATAGAGGGCTGGTATGGGGGCTTAGTGAAACAAGTTCTTAATTAGTCTACCCTGCTCCCATCTGGATATTTTAATATTTTTCTTCAAAGGCAAATTTTAATTGTGCAGCAATATTGTTGGCACAAAAGTAAGTGTTACAGAGAATAGTTTAGAATATGAACCCTCAACTTCCTACTCAGGGAAACTGAGCTAACAGTCATCTTTAAACTTTAGGGAAAATAGGCAGTCAAGGAGAATTTTAAATAATAAAATCAAAGTCCATAGTAAAATCAAATACTTTACTATTACTGTTTAAAAGAATAGCTACAAAAACTGGGAGGGAAAAAAGGTTATCATTTGGGCTCTTGAGGACACTTGGACCTTGTCTGTTCAGCATCGGGTTCCCAGAACCAGTTTCGGGAATTGTTGAACTGCTAGTGAAAAAGAGACACAGCTGCTTTCAGCCATGTTATTGCTGTAACCTTAATTTAATAGTAATTCAAATTCTTTGTACTTGTCTGCATTAGTAGTTAAACCATTTTCCACATTGGTTCAGAGGGATCCATTATTGACAACCATTGTCAGCAACTGGGGCCTATGAAACGAACCAATCTGTCAAACCCTTAAGCATATGCTTAACTTTTTAAGCATGACTAATCCCATTGATTTCAGAGAGATCTCTTGCATGCCTAATGCAGAGCTGCCAGCTCTCCCTAATTTTTAATAATTCTCCCAATTTTTAATGTGATTACAAAATTATCAAATCAGATGTAAATCTACGAATTTTGCAAATATATCGAAAAATTAGGAAGATTATGTATGTGTTGCGTGTCATTCACCATTTGGGTCTGATGAACACAGTGCTGCATCTGCAGGGGTGTTCTTCTCCACTGCCAGCACCCCTGTGCAGTCATGTGCCACCATTTTGGCAGTCAGGCTGGGAGAGGCTTGCAGGGTAGCTCCTCAGTTGCATGGGTGAGCTCTCCTGGCAGGAGGAAACCATCCCAAACCAGTGTGTCTGCCAGGAGCCCAAAAAGTGGCTGCTGTGTAACCAGCCGCCGCAGGGAGCACAGAGCTCAGCTGAGAGCACAAGCAGCATGTGGCAGGGATGACATGCTGGCATCCCTGCAACTTCTCCCTCAGCTTGACTGCCAGTACCTGGGGCTGGATGGGCACCTCTGGGTATGTGACATTGCAAGCAGTTGCCTGCAGCACCAGTAAGTAATCGTCGCCTGTCCAGCACTGCCTATACCTGGTATTGACGCCTTGTCTCCCTGAGCCAGCTGACACTGGGCAGCTACTCTCCTTTTATCCCCAACCCCACCAAACAGCCCCCTTCATTCCTATCTCTCTTATTCCCCCAACTCCACCGTAACAAGTCCCTTTCCCAGTTTTCTGAAACCCACCTAATCCTTCTTTCAGCCCAGCCAGCAACTCCACTTTAGCATCCAGTGTCCCACCGTCCCCTGGGGGCAGGATGACTCCCTCACAGCATACCATGAGAGAAATTTCTGAGGGCATTCCTGCCCCATGGCACCTGTACAGACTGCAGAGTGAGGGTCATTCGGATAGGAGGCAAGCTGTGGACATTTTGAATGGGTTGGCACACTGCAACCGAGCAAGCCACAGGCTGCGTATTGCATTCTAACTGCTCTGTGTGCCCTTGCTCGTGCACTCCAGGTACCTAGAGCACGGTAACAAAGTCCAGCAGGGTGTATGGGGGCAGCTGGAGTGCAACACACGTCCTGTGGCTTGTGCAGTGAATCCAGCACCCCAAGCCCCACTGACAAAATGAGCCAAATATGGCAAAATAAAACATGGAATGGTTTCAGAAATGCTTGCAAAGGAGCGAGGATATAGCTAATATTGTGGTCAGACCTGACCATGGCTGTTGATGTTACTAAAAGTTACTTCAGCTTGTACCACTGTTATTACTCTAACATGCACAGAAGTGCACCTAAAATGCACTACAAGCTTTCGTGGTCCTACCTGAGACACCCTATCTGTATTTGGCTTTGCAAATTTGGCACTTGAGACCGCTTCAAGCAACCTCCTTAATTTTTTTTCATAAACATCCATAAAAGTCTAAGTCAGAGGTGGGCAAACTTTTTGGCCCGAGGGCCACATCTGGATATGGAAATTGTATGGTGGGCAATGAATGCTCACAAAATTAGGGGTTAGGGTGCGGGCTCTGGTGTGGGGCCAGAAATGAGGAGTTCAGGGTGTGGGAGGGTGCTCCCGGCTGAGACAGAGGGATTTGGAGGGTGGGAGGGGAGTCAGGGCTGGGGCAGGGTGTTGGGGCATGGGAGGGGGTCAGGGATGCAGGCTCCAGGCAGTGCTTATCTCAAGCAGCTCCCAGAAGCAGCAGCATCTCCCCCCTCCAGTTCCTGCGCATCCAAGCGGCTCTGTGTGCTGCCCTGTCTGCAGGCGCCATCTCTGCAGCTCCCATTGACCACGGTTCCTGGCCAATGGGAGCTGCGGGGGCAGCGTGCGGAGCCCCCTGGCTGCCCCTATACATAGGAGCCAGAGGAGGGACATGCCCGCTGCTTCCGGGAGCCTCCCAGAGTGGGGCAAGACTTGACCCCGCTCCCTGGCTGGAGCGCTGAAGTGGGGCAACCCCGGACCCTGCTCCCCGGGAGGAGCTCGAGGGCCAGATTAAAACATCTGGAAGGCTGGATGCAGTCCCCGAGCTATAGTTTTCCCACCCCTGGTCTAAGTGCAAGGTTAGCATCTCTGCTAATGTTGAAACATGTGATTCAAGATTGGGGTCTTCGTATGGGCAGGGCATGAGAATTAAATTGAAAATGCAGGATAAGTCTCCAGGCTTAAAAGAAAGATGCACCCTTTTTGTCACACAAAGCAGTCTGAAAGTTTATGTTACAAGAAATATTTTATATGTAAATTGTACTTGTTGGAAGGAAAAAGTATTCTTTTTTCCATGTGGTGATAGCCATCTTGCTTAAAAGTGATGGAATTTATGATGCCGATTAAATTTGTCACACCACAGAATGGGAATCTAATTTAAGAAACTGTAAACATTTAACACCATTGGTTTACCAAAAATAAAGTCTCATCTGTTGGGTTTTTTTTAATTTTGCAAGTATAAAAACTTCTTTAAAAGTAATGTTTGAGCTAACATCCTTAGGACTCAAAAGTAGCAAACTAATAATTTCTCTTTGTATAATTGTTTAAAATATCTCCCATGCTGATACGCCAATTCTATCCTTAATGGCAAATGTTGAATCCAGTGCCCAGCCCAAATAGCGAGATGCTGGGCAGGGGAGCGGGAAGAAAAAAATCACCGAAGGTTGTAGAGTGTCTTTAGAACCACTCCATGGATGCTACTGTAGCCCTTAGACTAATATAGTCTCCACGTCCCCTGCTCCCATAGTGCAAGGAGATCCCATGGAGGAGGGCTCTGTAGCACAATGGGAGGTGTGTGCACTCCTTTGTGGCCCTTTCCAAACATGGTCTCTGGTGCAGCTGAGCCTCAGAAGTGCTGCTGTCAGGGGACCCTCTACAGTCATGGAGGAAGGAGGCAGGATTTGGCCCTATGTCAATTTTTATAAATTACCTAGTTCTTCCTCCACTCCAAAGTTGGGGTTTATAATAAATCCTGACCATCTTTTAACTTGTAAGACTCATGAACTAGCTCTATGTTACATATTATAACAGTTTCAAACCATAACATTAAACATTAAAAAAGGAAAACATTTAAAGAAAATCCTATGGCAAAACTGAATTTTGCTTCTTGAACATAGTAAACGTATTTGGTTAACCTCTAGAGGCTTAAACCAAAAAATACTAAATTGCAATATAAATTAAGAGCAAACATTAAGGCACTGTGGGCTGAACTCTTAAAACAAGATTACAATATTTTTGCAATAATCACATGTTTACATCTCTTTGTCCAGAACTTTAGAAAATTTATTTAAAGGCATTGATCTTGTGATTTTTCTTACCAATCTTAGACACAGAATGAGTACTTTATACTCCCATTCATGTTTAATAATAATATGTTTGAATTAATAAAATGTGAATCCCATTCTTGACTGATGTAATATTAAATATCTTATTTTCAACTTAGTTTAAGAGAAACATTGAATTTGTTTGGAGTTTACATTGAACTTGTTGCTGAATATACAAATAAAATATTTAACTTTTGTAATATGACGACTCAACATTTTTAAAGTAAAAAACATCAGTCTGTTCATTACTCTGAATTATTTGCAATGAGATTTTTCTTTGTTAATTAACATTTTTTTTTCTGCTTTTGTAGAGTCCAGCTGAAGAACCAACTGTACAACTGGTAACGTTACATGAAATTTTAGAGGTAAAATGGTTTTGTGTGTGATGTCATTTTTTTCCTTACAATGATCAAAACCAGCAATGGTCTATAAGCAAAATGAATGATAGTGTGTGAAAATACAATTAAAATAACTAAGATAATAGAAACTGTGTTCAAAAAAATCTTACTGGGTTCCTCTTTTAATCCCCGGAGCACCCTAAGTAACTGTCTGGTACTAAACTCTTTTAAAATGTAAGAATAATTTAGCAAACTGATCCTACAATTTGAATCGGAAAATTATAGGCTTTTAAACTTCTAATTTTAAGATACAAAGTCAAACTTAAGTCATTCTTAAATTCACTAATTTTTAAATCAGGTTTTATAACTCTTAACTTAATAGTTCACAGTAGAAAATAATATTAAAATGGTTTGGTTAAAAAACCTGAATTTAAAATGTTTAACTTTTATATTTTGTACTATTTGCATGTACACAGTTCTGAAATATAATGCAGCAACAAGTCAATAAATTTCTAATATATTCATATTGTTGGGTTATTTGATAGGTCTGTTTTTAAGTTTTTTGTGTTGTTGTTTTTTTTTAATTGACAAGGATGCTCAGATTATTGAATGGACACTCCTATTATAATTTGTAAAAACCCAAATAAATTATGAATTTGCAAGGCATAAATATGATAGAGCTAAAAAGGTTGTTTGGATGATGGCACCTTCTCTATCCTAAACTTAGTATTTGGGAATACAGGGCTTTTTTATAGGGGTCTGTGTGTGAGAGACCTCCATGAAGAACAGCAGTTGTTCTGAGGGAAGGCCTGCGGAATTATAACATTCTGGTGTTTAGATGCTAAAATCCAGGTCACTATGACATTGTTATGCTTTACTTGAAAGTGCAGACTGTGAGTTTTTGTACTTAATGTCATTAACTTCAACTTCATGTTACATGCCTCAAGTATCTCAGCGTGCCTTTTAATGCCAAATTAGGTAGGGCTTGAAAGCAAATCAGAAATTAAAGTTGCCAAATGAGTTATTAAGCCCTGTGGAAATATAATTTCAAAAAATTTATACCTTAAAATTACTCTTCATATTCCCTTCACTAATTTTAAACACCTGCAAAGTACTAAAACACCCAGGTGTCTGATTTCTGTTTGAAAGAATAAACTAGTTCCAGACATTCAGACTTCAGACTTGTTTTTAATTTTCATTAACTTAGCCTAAACTTCGAGTTTCACTGATCTTCGTTTTATGTTTTTGTTGAGCCATTTAGTGCTAGTTTCAGTGCCTGTTAAATTTCAGAACTGTTGTGTTAGAGAATAGTTTCTTAGAGACAAATGCAAAGCGAGGCACATTTTGCTTTTGTGATCACAATTTAGGGTTTATTGTTTGTGTAAATATAAGCTATTCCCATTCAGAATTTGGGACCAAATAATATATCCATTCCCATCCAGGTTTCCAAAATTCATCCATGTTTACTTTATCTTTTAAAATTATCAATGTATTGCTTTTCATTTATGTGGCCACTATATAAAGCTGCTTCTTTGAGTAGACGCAGCCCTGTATTTCACTTAGGTGTGTGCGCGCCCAGTGCACCAGAGAGGGAGAAACTTGCCTACCAGTATCCATAGAGATGTGGTGCTCACACCTCGTGGCCATAGCACCTCTCCTGACTTCACGAGGCGGCGCTGCCCCAATCGTCCCTTAGTCCCTTCTTATCATCCATGACTGGAGTCAGAGCTCTGTGTGGTCTTAACCTCACAACCTCTCAATATGTTAGTTATGTTGTGTTAGTTGTGTTAATTTGTTTTCCTTGGTGATGCTCTTACTGGAGTTTAAACATTGTCCTTTGTGAGGAGGAGTGAGCCCCACATGCGGTGTTTTTGCTCTGCCTCAGCGAGGCCCATTTTAAAGAGGATTGTGTGATCTGCAGATCATTCCAGAAATGGACTCAAGTGGCTCGGGACCTTCTTCGGAAACAGCAACTGCAGGAACAGGCCATGCGACCTGCTTCGGTACTGCAGCCCTCATCAAGTCGGAGATCGCCCTTGGGTTCCAAGAGTGTTGCCGTTTCACGTTCTGGAGCAGGTACCTCACCAAAGAAACAGAGGAGCTGTTCCCTGTCTACTCTGCCAAGGAGAAGGTTGCATAAGACCAATCAAAACCACTCCAAGTCTCAGGGTGATTCTTCCACCTTCTCCAGGAAAAGCAGGAACTGGCACAAAGTTGGTTCCAGTATGTAAGATGGCACGGATACCTCTAACTCTTCTCTGGTACTGAGTAGGAATGTTAGAAAACCTTTACTGTTGACTCTTGTTCTGGCCACCAAGCACCCGTTGAGTCCGATACCGATGAGGGAGATACTGGCACTGACTGTTTCTACATCAGCAGCGTACCAGGTAGCAACAGATCTCATCTGCCTTTAGGTTCCAACCTTTCCTTTCGCCCAGGAGTTTGCCATGTCTGCATTATCTATAGCCCCATCGATTGAACAAGCTGCTGAACCCTTGGGTCTGTCAGCACTGCACCTCAGTGTTCCCTTTCCAGGTTATGGAAGCAGGTCCTATGCCAGGATTGGTACAGGGGATCTTGGTACCAGGAATCGCCTCAGCACCACAGCAGTCGGCACCATGATTGCTTCCATGGCAGCTTTCACCGCTCAATGTTGGTACTGTCAGACACTCCAGTATCACTGATGACGGATTGAAACCATTTCTGGCATCAGTGTGCTCAGTACCAACGGTACCGCTTCCATTGGCAGCGCCACTTCCTGGCTCGTTCTGGGTGATGGACGAGTCAGATCAGTTACTCGCTCCCTGCCATCTGCCCCTTGGAGAGTCACCATACTTATCAATTATGGGCTTCTTGAACTGGCTAAGGCACTGCGGAGCATGCCAGCTTTAATATTGCCTGGGGCTAAGTACATAGAAAAGCTCCATTTCATTCCTGTATGGGAATTTGAGGTGTTTCATTCTCATCTGGTCCCAAATTCCCTAGTTGCAACTGCAGTGAACCACAGCGGCAGACAGGGCAGGTTTATGTAGATAACAAGGATAGGGACTCTAAATAATTGGCCCTCATAGACAGGAAGATTTACACCTTTTCTTCTTTAGAGATGCAAATTGCTGACCAGCAAGCCTTGCTGTCCAAGAACGATTTTTGTCAACTGGACAGCTATGTCAAAGTACACAGACGAGCTGCACAAGGCCTTGCATGAGGAATTTCTGGCATTTGTGGCTGAGGGCTGCTGGACGTCTTAACTAGACCTCACGGACACCTCGGCCAGGGTGACAGCCTCTGCAGTCACCAAGAGGAGGGCTTCCTGGCTGCAGAGTTCGGGCATTGCCCCTGATGTCCAGCAAGCCCCTGAATATTTGCTCTTTGACCGCCAAATGCTGTTCTCTGACAAAACTGACAAGATGCTGCAGTCCTTCAGTCCTGGGGGGGTGTACATGCCGGAAGTGTAAAGGCACCAATATGGCATTCAACAGCAGCAGCAGTATCGTCTACAGCATACATTTGGCCAGCCTGTTCCTCCTCCTTGGCAATGGGACTACCCCAGAAAGAGGGATAGATCACACAGCAGAAAGCAGTTGGGCTCTGGATTCATCCAGTCCACATGCCCTCCCAGTACCCATTTTCATTCCTTGTTCCAGAGCACTGTTTCAGCGGTTGCTTCCCCCCACTCATCCTCCCCAGTTTGGGGACAGGCTGGCCTGCTTTCCTAAGCACCATCAGATCAGGTTATGCCATCCAGTTCCTCTCCACACCTCCACTTCAGGGACTTCTCTCATGAGATACTGCTCCTCAAACAGGTCTGCTCTCTGCTGGTTTTGGGAGCAGTGGAGGAGGTTCTGCGGGAACATCAGGTCATGGCTTCTACTCCCAGTACTTCCTGATACACCTGCCTTGGTTTTGGGTAAGACCCACCCTTGACCTTCATGACCTCAACAAATATATCAGGTACATGAGTTCCGAATGGCCACTCTATTGACCATTCTCCCTACATTGTCTCAGAATGACTGGTTTGCTTCTTTGGACCTTCAGGATGCCTACTTCCATGTGTGGATTTTGCCGAACTACAGAAAGTTCTTTCTGTTTTTCATGGTGGAATGCCACTTTCAGTATGCAATGCTTCCATTAGGCCTCTCTTCTCCTTCCCCCTCAGGACTTTACCAAATGCATGGCTGTAGTTACGGTGTATCCCAAGAGGAAGGGATGACTGGTTATGAGGGACAGATCCAGAGAGGAAGTTCATGCTCACGTCAGCACCACACTAAGCTTGCTCAACCGTCTGGGTCTTATCCTCAACATAGGGAAGTTAATCATGTCTCTCACTCAAAAAATTAAGTTCACTTCGGCTCTGCTAGATTCCATGACATTGAAAGTGTTTCTGCTGACCTACTTTTTTCAGACAGTTCGCCATCTTTGCATCAGTCTGCAGTCTCAGGCTTCCACGACAGTTTGGACATGTCTGAGGGTCTTGGGTCATTTGTCCGCTTCCACACAGGTGATTCAGTTTGAAAACTTGCGCTTTCGCCCCCTTCAAATGTGGCTCCAGGCGGTCTACCCATCCTACTCTTCATCATCCAGACCAACTGGTTCATCTTCCTCCACTTCCTCAACTTCTTCCTTGCAGTGGTGGATGCATCCAGAGAACATTTGCCAAGGAATTCCCTTCGTCCAGCCCTCACCTGATGGGCTGGGGGGTTGCACCTGGGGTTACTAAAAGTACAGGGACTGTGGTTGGAGCAGGAGACATCACCCCATATCAACATGTTGGAGCTTCGAGCCATTTACAAGGCAGGTCACACTTTCTGAGACTGTGTCAGAGACTCAGTGGTTCACATACTTACGACAATACCACCTTGATATATTATGTGAATGAACAAAAAGGGAGCACACTACAGCTTACTTTTCCTAGAGGCAATCAGGCTGTGGTAGTTCTACATTAAGGAGAACATTACTCCAATAGCCGTTCACTTACCTGAGGTTAAGAATCCTCTCACGGACCATCTCACAAGTATTTTTCTCTGAGTCATGAGTGGTCTGAACATAAGTGTCCTCTGGGTTATCTTCAGAGCCTGAGGCATCCCAATGATCAACCTGTTTGCTACAAGGGACAACAAGAAATGTTGTCCCTTTTGCTCTTGACGGGGCCTCGGTCCTGGTTCATTGTCCAACGCTTTCCTCCTCAGCTGGCAGTCGTTTCTTCTCTGTGCTTTTCCCTTGATGCTGATACCTCAGGTCATTCTCAAGTTTAAGGTGGATTGGCCCAAGCTTATTCTTGTTTCCCTGGTGTGGCCAAGACAGTGCTGGTTCTACTACCTCTTCTCAGTATCTGTTCAGCCTTCCATACTGCTTCCTCCCCATCCCGACTTGCTCAGTCAGAACCAAGGCTTCACCTTGCATCCTGAGCTCAGCTCCCTTCATCTCATGACATGGCTGCATGGCTGAATGAGGAGGAAGTGTGATGTTCAGTGGCTGTCCAACTCCTCCTCCTTAACAGTAGAAAATCCTCCACCAGAATGGCCTATGTGGTGAAATGGAAGCAATTTTCAGTGTGGTCATTAGCTTGTGGAATCCAGCCAATGCTGGCCTCTATCCAGGACATTTTGGAGTATCTGCTGCACCTTTTAGTCATTGGGGCTTACATTTAGTTAATTGAAAGTGCATCTGGCAGTGATGTTGACATTTCATCCCCCTTTCAGGGAAGATCGGGCTTCACCAATACCATGATAGCAAGATACTTAAAAGGGCTTCATTTTCTACATCTCCCCCCCCCCCCCCCCCCCAAACCAAGAACTGGTTCCTCTATGGGATCTTAACATAGTCCTAGCGGCCTTAATTGAACTTCTGTTCAAGCTCTTGACATATTGTCCCTTCCTGCTTTTGTGTCAGAAAACTGCATTCCTGGTAGCAATAACATCTTCAAGGAGTGTGTGAGAGTTGCAGGCTCTGATGGAAGAACCTCCTTTTATATACAATTCTCCAAAGACAAAGTGGCTTTACGACTGCATCCAAATTTTTCATCTGAAGGGTTTTTCAGTTTCATTTGAACCAGGTGGTATATTTACCTGCGTTCTTTCCTAAGCAGCATTCAACTCTGGAGGAGCAGTGTCTCCCTACCTTTAGATGTCAGGCTATGTCTAGCCTTTTATCTGTACAGGCCTAAACCAGTTTGTGCTTAACCTCATTGGTTTGTGAAATGTGCAGATTTCATGAAGGGTCAAGCGGTCTCTTCACAGATGATCTCCAAATAGATAACATCATGCATCAAGACTGCATATGAAACAGCTTCAGCTACTCCCCCTCAGTGGGTGTGAGCGCATTCTACAAGAGTGCAAGCAACGTTCATAGCATTCCTGAGTGACGTTTCCGTATTGGACATTTGCATGGCTGCTACATGGTTGTTGCTGCATACGTTTGCGAACTGTTACACCATAACCGCATCTTTCAGGGTTGAGTCAAGCTTTGATAGAACGGTCCTGCAGTCCTGGTTTAGGTAGACTCCGAGCCTTGTCTCCTGCTTGTGAGTCACCTAAATGGAATACACAGCTGCATTTACTCAAAGAAAAAGAAATGGTTACTGGCTGTAAATGTGGCTCTTCTAGATGTGATGCAAATGTGTATTCCACGACCCACCCTCTGTCCCCTCTGCACCGGAGTCTTGATTCTGGGCATTCTGTGTGAAGGAACTGAGGGAGGGTTGAGGTGGTACCCGCAATGTAGCTGGAGGAGGGGTGGCAGCTACGAGGCATGAGTGCCACCTATCTCCAGGTACTGCTTTGCAAGTTTCTGCAGCTCCGGTGTCCTGGGCATGCACACGGCTAAGTGAAATACAGTCTGCATCCATGTCTGCATCACATCTCAAAGAACCACATTTACAGTAAGTAACTGTTTCTTACTGTATATATTTTCCACTATAGAGATACAATACCAATAGTGATGACTACTTAATTGGAATCACATAAATTACCATGGCAAAGAATAGGTATAAATTAAAAAAAAAAATTAGTTATAACCCCCAGTCCACTGTGGCAGCCATTCTTAGACACTCCTATAAGTGTTACATTATATTTAATCTTTGGATTTAACTTCATTTTGTATAGCAACTTTGCATACACTCCTGTTTACGTGTTCCATTACTCCCCCTGTAGGAACATGTAATCTGCCAGTTCCTGTTCCCTTAAATTCCCTGTGTAAACTTTTATCAGAAGTACCTCAGTAAGTTTTCTTGTGCTGCTTCATACTCCAGGGATGTTGCATGTTTCTATGCACAGTGTAACATTCCTCCTTCAAATCTCTTCAGCAATGATTCCCACTCACGTAAAACTAAGAATTAGTTCTTTTTCTTAAGTTATTTTTAAAAATAACATGATGCTTATGGTACAAAAACAAGTATAAATAATTTAAATAAAAGCAGTAGAGAGAGAATGTGATGGTAAAGGTTATTTCAGAATATGGGTGTTGCTGAGAAGTCTCGCCAGCAACAGTTTATGAAAGATCATGAATTAATATTGTGAGAAATGAACAGAAGATATGGGGCAGGGAAGTACAGAGCAAACATTTTGGTAGATAGGCTGGAGCAAATCAATGGAGTGTTTTGAAAGAAGGAAGGCAATTCTGATCTGAATATAAAATGAATGAGTCACCAATGAGGGTATTTGGAGATGAAGATTATTATGTTTCTTTGTGTTGGGAAGAAGGCAGGCAGAAGCATTCTGAATATGCTAAAGTCTGGAGAGCTAGAACATGTAGAAGCCATAGAGAAGGGAGTTGCAGTAGCTAAGGTGAGTAGAGATGAAAGCATGGGTAGGATTTGGGCTGACATGGCTGTCAAGGCAGCGGTGTTCACAGACAATATTGTGAAGATGGCAGTAGGCAGATTTACAAATATATGGGCTCTAAGAACAGGAACAGAGACACCAGGCTGATGATCAGATTGCAGACAATGGAGTCAAATGCCAAGTCTAGGTCAAGGAGGGGAGAAAAAGATGGAATTGTTTGAGGGTACTTATCTTGCCTCGGGAGAAGGAAGTTGATTAATACATTGATTCACTTGCTCAAGACAAGCAAGTGGAATAGATAGCGAGGAAACAAAGCATTAAAGATATGAAAAGATATGTATCTTGAGTAAAATTAGTAGTTAAGGTTAAAAGTAAATAGAAGATGACTGTAAAAGGGGAACTGACTGCCAAAAGTAGAACCTTTTGGGACTCGGAAAGCAGTTTCTTGGCTCATAGAGAATGGAAATTCCATTGTTTTAAGTCTGAAGAAAGGCGAGGGAGAAGGAGCCCTTGTTGGCAAAAGAGGTCATTTGGAGAGTTATATTGCAGTGAAATGAGAGCGAGGTCGTATCTGTTGGTGGGTATGAAAAACAGAAAATGTCTAAAATAAAGGTTTGCCTAACTTTCTCTCTCAACTTTGGAAGCCTGTTAAAAATCTTAAATTGCTACATTGTCTTTGTGTGCTTTTATTTTAAAAACTAAATAAATTGCAGTTACATTCCATTATCTTTTTGACTGAATGGCTTGCATAACTATATACATACCTAAAATCCAATATATGCTTTTGATTTATTGGGGGAAAATTAGAATATTGTTACATAAGGGAAGAGAATCAACTTAAATTTAATATTCAACAATTTCATACTTAAAAAAATCAATTAAACATTCTTTAATGAATAATTTGGAACAGGCTTTGTATCTTTTAGGTAAGCAATTCTTATGACATCAGTGTGCTCACCTTTCCTTGATTAACAATAGATAAAAATCAACCTGTTTTATGCATATTTTGAATCTCATTCTCTTGATCTTCCAGCGTCTTATAAACAGATTAATGAGTACACCACATGAACCATATTTGACAATCAGTGATTCCTTCTGGCCACCTTATGTTGAACTGCTGCTGCGGTATGGAATTGCACTGAGACATGCAGAGGATCCAAGCAGAATACGCTTAGAAGCCTTTCATCAGTAAAGGCACCTTTGTGACTATTTAAAAAAGAAGAAATGTGTTGAATCAGTACTCATACTTTAAAAATATAGAGGTGTGGGTGTATGTGTGTATTTTTTATATATATATAATTTGATATTTTATCATAACTCTGGGTGTTAATCTTTTCTGCTTGGACAGTATTTTTTGACAAACCATACCTGTTTTAAGTGCAGTTACTTATGAAGCTTGTGACATGACAAAACTTTCTTTTAACTTCAAATGATGATAGCCATTCATCCCATTAGTTGTTGACTTTATGATGTTGTGTTACTGTACTGTGAAATTAGGTAGTGCTTGTTCAGATGGCTTAGATAAGACTCAAATTCAAGTTAAAGGACTATTGTATGTAGACAAAATAATTAAAGTAGTTTGTGTTTTGTTGATTAATTAAAAGAAATAATGCTTTGCATATGGCATGTTTGTTTTCTTATGCAACACTCCCTCAGGCTTTGTCTACACTAGCACTTTTGTTGGTCGGGTGTGTTAAAAAAACAAAAAAACACCAAAAAAACACCCCTGACTGACAAAAGTGCCGGAGTGAACTACCATCACTTGTTAGCTGTGGTTTAATAATGGGAGAGCTCTGTTCTGTCGGCATAGAGGAGCTACACAGGAGACGTTACAGCAGTGCAGCGGCACAGTTATGCCACTGTAAGATCTGTAGTGTAGACAAAGCCGCTGTATGGCTCCAATCCTCTTACTTCCTTTTAACATTTATGCTACACTTCTGTACTAGGCTTGAACTATCTCAGTTCAGTTTGTAAATTTGAAGATTAGTAGTCTGAATGTTTTAAAAAATGGAGAAATAACTTTTCACATTTGTTGCATTCAGGATGCCTTATGACCAATGGCAGAAAACAGTGTTGGGTTTGAGATAAACATTCAAGAGAATCTATAGGTCTTCTTATGCTGAAAGAGTTGAAAATTGCCCATCATGCAGCTGTGGGTGGGTGGGAGGGTTGTGTGTGCGGGTGGTGGTGGTGGGCTGAGATGTACAGGAGGTCAAACTTGATTAGAGGTCCACAAATTGTGGGGCGCAAAGAAATGTTAAGGGGTGTGTGGTGGGCCTGGGCCAGCCCACATGGGGGGGGCAGAGACGGAGCCCTGCCCCCAACTCTGCTCTGGCACTGCCCCCAGCTCCTGGCACCACACCTGACCCAGTCCCCAGCCTTGGCCCCAGGCTGGGAACAGGGCCCAGCCAGGGGCCGAGGCTTGGGGGAGGGATCAGAGGTTGCAGTGGGGGCTGGCAGCTGGGCCCGCGACTACATGCTTAGCCACTGCTACCCTAAATTTTAGACGCCAATTAAATTAGCCTACAATAGCACTTCTAATTTAACAAGAGGGTAACAAGGTTGTGGGCCGCCTTAAAGGAATTACCAGGGTGTTATCAGGGGACTTGTCTCCAATCTGCAGAGGGCTCCCCAGGGCAAGCTAGTCTTGCTAACCCCTGAAAGGATACGGATAGAGTCTTCCACTCAAGGGGTGACACACACAAGCAGAAATTCTTCAACAACATAAGAATTATTTATTTAAAAGAAATAAAAAAAATTAGTAAGTTTAATAAAGGAAGAAAAGATGCATAGGATTTAATAAAACCCAATCAAATTACATTTAAGAATTGTACAATAAAGCAACCCAGCAAGATAAGAGACAGACTGCATAAAATATCTAACACATACCGAGAATACAGTAGTTCCAATGTAATAAGCATATAAAGATCCTGCATACACAAAGGCTTTAGTCTTAATGTTACAATCTAATACCATACTTAATACAATGCAGTATACGCAGGCTCTGTATGCACATCCAAGAAACCAGTATGTCACAGATTTGAAAAAAAATTTACTTAACACTAACCTTAACATTTAACACTAAACATTTAGCATTTAATATTTAACATCCTGTGAGCACTGGCCAAGAGGTCACAGGATGAGTAGGGGAGATCTCATTCAGGAGCGGGCATCCAACTTTATTAACAGACACCCCCAAGCACTCTTTAAAAAAAAATAATAATCATAAAATTAGACCTACACTCTCCCACCAAAATCCCTCTGACTCGTCTGAGGTCCTTCTGCTCTGTCTCAGTGGTGCCAGTGCTGGAGATGGTGGTTGCTGTTATTTCTGAAGGTCACCGTGGCTGTGTGTTTCGGAACTGCTGGTGGTTGCCTTTACAGGTAGCTATCTTCCGGTGGCGTAGCATCCTTAAAGCTGCTGCCTTCTAGAAGGTTCGGTTGCTGCTGCTCCTCCAGGTAGCTGCTTGATTGAGCTACTATGAAAGCCGCTGCCGTGGTAACCTTTCGAGTTCTGCTGCTTTTCCAGCCAGCTGCTTTTTCCGGAACTATCTGTCCTTCTCCTCAGGTAGCTTCTGTTCTTCCACAAAGCCTCAAACCCATTACATTCATGCTAGCTGTTGGCCTTATATTGTGGTTGCTTTCTCAAGGTCAGCTTATCTCTGCCAATCAGTTTCTAGCTCTTCTAGCTCCTCCCCTGACGTCATCCTATTTTTAGATACAGAGCTCCTCCCCTATGATGCTATCTTTAGAAAGCTAAGCTTCTCCCTCTGGTGCCATCTTGGGTAGGGCTCCTCCCTCTGACCATCTTTAGCAAAGCAAAGCTCCTCCTTTTGAAGATGGAATTTTTCACTCTAAATTTAAACTACGTTATCGCCATCTCTGCTATTTTGGTCTGCTATGTTGGATTTTTCTAATTTAAACTATCATTAATTTCTACTTATTTAAAGCCTTAATCTTAGAACTAATTACTGTTTTATGCAAATCAAAGTGTCCTGATACTGTCACCACCTTAATTATGTTAATTAGGAGAAGTAAGTTTTACGGTGTTTTTAAACCACCTCTGAGGTTTTTCTGCAAGCCTCTATAAATATGCTGCAAGGTATCTCAGAACATTCAAAGCAAAATCTCTCTTTACACCACTGCTGGCCCTCACTGCGGCCCAGCTGCAGCTCCGCTCCCGCCCCAGCCTCGGACCCCTCACCCTTGGAGCCACAGCCCCACTCCTGGCGAGCGCAGTAGAGGGGGCGTGGATAGGGGCAAGGAGGGGTGTGACCCTGAAAAGTTTGGGGACCACTGGGCTAAATGATCTAAGGACCCTTCTGGTCTTAAACTCTATGACTGATTTTTCTCCTAAAATGAGCCCCTTAATGCAGTGTACAACTTCTGTTAATAACACTGCACTTTATATTGTCTACACTTTTCACAATTAATTTAGCAAGGCTTGTAATACTTAATTTCTGTGTTTTTTGACAGTTTGTAATTTATATCTGGCACAGGGAATCCATTAATCCAGTGAGAAGTCTTCTGGATAACCATGCCTGTCTGATCCTAATTTTCTTAAGTGTACCCCTGATCACAGTCGTGCCTGAGTAGATATTAAATGACTTGCACAAGGTTACACAGGAAGCCTGTGGCTGATCTGGAATTGAAGCCTGAAGTTCCATGCCTGCAGGCCTGCAACATGTGTAACATTGGGAGATATAACCTGCCTTTTGGTTAACCAGATTTCAGTTTATCAGGGTTTTTAGCACTATATGATATAACCTCCATGCTTTTTAAGTAATACAAAAAGTGTTTTGCTGGCTTAGAGAAACAAACCACATGTCCCAGTAATTATGGGAGGAAGCTAGAGAGGCTATTTTCATGGTTTGCTCCTGTAGCTTCTTAAATTACGATTGGAATGTAAGAGAATTGTATATGAAAATACCTGCAATCTATCTCCCTTGAATTTAGAGCTTTTTTTTATGACTTGGACAGAACTGAATATAGTATTTCACATGTATTGCCATCAATTTATACAATGGCATTAAAACTTCAGTATAGTTTTCTGTCCCATCCTTTATACATCCTAACAAACTATGGGAGAGGGGAGCCGGTTAGCACTACTGTGTATTGAGCCAAGGCTTTTGTTCAGTTATCCTCAGGACTTTTTGTGAGGGATTGCAGTTAATTTAGAATTCACAAGGATCAATTTTCTCTCTGGTCCTTTTCAGCATAAGAGCAAGTACTAGGTGAACTGTTCAGATCTCATGGAGTCTAGTGCCAGCAATAAGCAGTTGACACACAGCTCTACCTATCCTTCAAAATATACAGCCACACCACTACCACCAACTTGGCCCAATGGGTGGGTGAGATCAGCTCCTGGATGAACAGCAGCTGGCTGCAGCTGAACCCAAGCAAGACCAAAGGTGATGCTGATGGGCAGAGAAAAGCATTTTGAATAGTCGTCCGCCTACTTTATATGTGCTAATTTTCATTTCTAGACAGTCATTACCATCAGCTGTACTGCCTTCATGCCTTATGTTCCCTATTATCATTCTTACTGAAAACTGAGGCAAAGTATTAATTTAGTTTTTGGACCATATATAGATTATCTGTACTCTTCTCATCTGCACTGCATAGTGGCTCCAACCTCATCCTTCCTTATTCTCTTTTTATTTATATAAATACAGAACCTCTTCTTATTTTAATTTCCTTGGCAAGAGCTAATTCAGCAATTCTCACTTTATTCCTACATTTTCCAACCTCCATGATTTAGGTTTCTTTGCTGATAAACCCCCTTTACCATTCCCTATAGGTTCTCTACTTACTCCTCATAACATGTTTGAGTTAGTTATTCATCCAGTTGGGTCTGGAGTCTTTCCCTACCAGTTTTTTCCCCTTGCTTGGGATGCACATTTCAGATAGGTTTATATATATATAGGTTTATATATATATAGTTTTATATATATATATATATATATATAGTTGATTTGACGATTGTAATAGCTCTTAAATCAATATCCAGGTCTGATGGTAGATCTTCATCACGTATTTCTAATAGTTCACTTGTGCTTGGTCTGTTTTAAAACAGACTGAAAATGTTCTGCCCACCTTTTCCTTTGTTCTTCTGTACCAAGTATCTTTCAATTTGCATCTTTAATAGGACCTCCAGTACTGCTAAAAGTTTTCCTGTTAGCTGATTGATTGTCTGATACAAAGTTGTAAGGTCACCTCTTTCGCTAGCATCTTCAGCCTCGTGACATTTTCTATCAACATATAGATAGATATAGCCTTTTTAGCTCACTTACTTATCTCTTTGCATGTCTTAGCATTCATGAGTTTTTGCTTTACACTTTCCTTTTCCTTTGGTCTAGATAATATAGTCCTGCCCTGAATGCAGGGGACTGGACTAGATGACCTCTCAAGGTCCCTTCCAATCTTATAATTCTATTTTGCTGCCCAAGTAAAATTGCTAATCCATTCTTCCCATTTTTAGATTTTGATTGCTAACTATGTTGAATTCAAATAGCGGATGGAAACCTGGAACCAGTGGCTCTCTTATGCACACATTTTCATTTGGCTCCTTGAGATCCCAGATAGGTGCTCTTCTAATTGGGAGGGAAAGTTAGAGATC